GATGAAGAAGGTGGGAGATCGTTTTCCGTAGGGTGATGACAGTACGTTTTGAGTCAGATTACCTTAGTCACTAGGAGAGTTGGGCGAGTTTCGTCCAGCTCAGGATAATTACGTGAGGTAGGTTGGTAGGTAGATAGGTAGGTAGGTAGGTAGGTAGGTACATTAGCATCGGTCTACGTACCGCATGCATACATACGTGTAATTAGCAGTACGCAAGGGTATGCTTGCTTTTGCATTCAGGTATCTGACCGTGTAAGCACAGCACACGTAGAAAACACGCGCGGTTAAACGAGCATCCAACGTGTCGTACTTTCCTGCGAAAACCCTTTCCTACCCTTGTAGTAGTAGTTCGCGCATGCTTTTACATTTCTATTCTTGATAAGACTATTCTTTCACCTTCTCCCTTTTCTCACTCTCTTTCTTTTTCTATTCTTCTTACGCATGTAATAATGACAATAATTAGAAAAATCTTTACTTTGGTTAAGATTAAAGTGTCATTTTTTTTGTATTATAATCCCGTTTTGTTTTTTGTTTTAATTTTTCAGAAAATTACCATGAATAATTAAAAAATTCTTTAAAGACTATATATATAATATATATTTATTAAATTTATTTATTTATTTATATATATATCATTAAACAAACTTGTTAGAATCATACTAATTGTCTATCGATTGAACAAAAAACAAATGTTAAATACAGAGAATATTCTAAGATAAGATTAATTCACGAATAAAAATGCATAAACATATTATCTAGATGTAGGATAAATAAAACAAAAGAAAAGAATAGTTAAAAGTAGTTAAGCGGCCTACCTATCTAGGATCTATCGTAAGGGCTAGGGCGTGAAAACGAAATGCTCTTATAATCCTTGTAAATAACGCGCTTTGTATTAATTTATGGACGGCGAGCAGCCGACTAACGTCCGGGGGCGTCGTTACGATGATATACGCTTGTAGGGGGTAGTATCATGGGGTAGTAGCAGGGGCCAACGGTAGAAGGTAGAAACAGGGAAAGAGGGTAGGTCGACGGGGGTAGTTAGGGGGAAAAGGGTAAAAGCGTAGGTGAGAGTGAAGGGAAGAAGGGGTTGAAAGAGGGGGGTGGGTGGTGTTATTTGGATTTCATTACGTCCTCTACATCCTGAAATAGAAAGAGTGAGATAGTGTGAGTGAGTGAGAGAGAGAGAGAGAGAGGGGGAAGTTAGGAGCTCCTCCTACACGTATGCTTCACCGTCGAATCGTGTTTCCGCATTTCTGGTGATATCGAAGGGGTGAAATTGGAGCAATGCCCGTGCCACCAACGACAACCTTGCACCACACCGGACTCCTCTGAATATACATATCTATTCGTGTATTATAATATCTAGGTATATTGATGCGGATGTATATATATGTATGGTGTATATGCATACGTACAGGATCGTTCATATCAAGTGTTATCAAATTGTTTTTTTCTTCTAGATATTTATATGTATATTGAATTTGTTTTGTGAGTGTGTCTGTGTGTGTGTGTGTGTTTGTTTTATTTTTTATTCGTTATAGACCAATTTGTAATAATAAAAAAGAATTTATGTATTTTTATAAGTGATTTTTTTTTCGTTGTAGGGTTAGAAAGGATGATTCGTAGTTTCTTTTCTTTTTCTTTTTTGGGAGAGATAAGATTAGTATAATTTTCTCATCGAATTGTGAATGACACAGGTGTTTGAAATATTTTCTTTTTTTTATCAAAGCTTGGTTTATATTATTTATATATTAATTTGAGTATGTGGAATAGATATTTGGTTTAAGTGACAGTTATCTGTAAATAAATAAGTTGAAATATTTGTGTTTAATGGGATTCAAGTATTTTATTAGTAGTTTTATACAAAGTGAGTAACAGGTAATTAAAATAAAGAGAAAACATATAGTAAAATTTAATTTGAACTAACCTGTAGACGATAGATACGCGCGCAGGTAATAAATTTAAATCGATCACCAAGAGGAACACGAGAAATATTCTTCGAGTACTACAGAATAGGAATAATTTAAACGATCGTCAGGATGTTCCAATGCTCTATGACGAATTTAAATTATATTCGAATCGTGAAAATTGTATTATGAGAAATACGAGAAATAAGAAGAAAAAAAAAAAGAAAAGAGAAACGTTTTCTTTTTATCGTTAAATCGAAAATGCTTCTAAGCAAATCAAACTTAGAGATACTTCGAAATGATTATATTATTATTATTATAAAAGTAGAAAAAAAACGGGTGAAATACATTAATCATCGGTCACGTCGAATAATCTAACGGTAAAAGTATATTAATAGATTATATATACCCATGGGAAGGAATTTTCATTGACCATAAAAATGTTACTTTTAATTTAACAATACTTCGAACACACTTTGACGTTATACGAATAATACCCGGTCATAGTTATTAATCTTATTACGAGAGTTTAGGATCTTTATTCATCGTCAGATACGTACATCATTCTCTCTTTTTTTTTTCACGGATGAATAATCTATTATCGTCTGGATGGATGAAAACGAGTGAGAGGAAAAAGAAAAATGAACTCTATAGGAAAAAAGAAGAAGAAGAAAAAAAAGTACAAATTAAAAAAGAAAGAATAACGTTTTAGTTTTCCTATAATCCCGAAACGATTAAAATTTCATATTAGCGTACTGTTATAAAATACACCATGTACATGGAAAAAAGAAACAAAAAATTGCATGGTTTTTTATTAAGTTTTTATGCGATATCCTACGATAGAGGTCGTTTGATATTTTAAACGTTTAATTATATCACGATTGATTCTATTCCGACTCATCTGTTGGTAACAGTCAAAGTGTGTCGGGACTGTTTAAATAAAATAAAGTATCTGATTTTCGCCATCGCCTGTCTTTTTTTTACACATTTCTTTTTTATACATATATTATATTTTACTCATTTTCGTATAGATTTTTTAAATATTGAAATAATAAAACAAAAAACACCCACGCGTGCATGAAAAATACAATATCATATCGCATATTAAAACTTTACTTTTATATAAATGATATTTTATATAAGTATAATATATTGCAAAAAATAAATGAAATAAAAGGTGTAAGAAAAAATCTTTAATATATTGAATGCAGGTCACGTTGCAATATAAGCTTAACAATAGGTAAGAAAAAAATTAAAAATAGAATATATATATATATAAGCAGAGAGAGAGAGATAAAACGTTATCTCCGATACTACGAGTAATCATATTCCTGAAACGTTATCGATGTTAACGTTTACGTTTACGTTTAAATAGAAGGTACAATGATCGTATCGTTTTCCAAACGATTTGGCTAATCTATTGGCATTACTATGAAAACCTTCTGCGACCACAATGACGTTCAATCGGATCGAAGTTGGGTGCTGCTTTTGAAAGAGTATCTGCTGCAACATACAACAGCACAGCACAGCACAGCACAACACAACACAACACAACACAACAGAACACAACAGAACAACAACAACAATACAACAAAAAGAAAGTAAAGTAAAGTAAAGTATAGTAAAGAATGAAAGAAAGAAAAAAAATAAATAATACGACTACCGATCTCTATTTCATTTCCCCTCTCTTTTGAAGATTTCAAAGTACACTGAAAGCAAACCCTTTCGAGTTTAGCACTTTAAAAAGACGTTTTCTATGACGTTAGCTTAAGTCGAAACGATTACGCAATTCATTTTAACGAGTTCTTGCACGTTTTCCTTGCCATTAAAAATTCATCAACGCTGTGAACTGAAATCAACGTGTGTCGTTGCACGTTGAACTCGCATAACCAACCTCTCTCCCTCTGCCCCTCCTATCCCCCCCCGCCATACTGCCGCCGCCGCCCCTAAACTCAACCCCTTGGAGGAAAATTAGTTGGAAGTTTTAGATTTATCGTAGGTTTTGGCTACTACCCAACGAACCGCGCGTTTAAAACTTCTTTCTTTTCTTCCACAGCAATAACAAATAGATTCTACTTTGATCGTATCCCAGCAATCATTGGAAATCAATCAAATCGGATGAAGATAAAAAAAATCATTAAAGAGTATCAAAACAAAAAATATAAATTTACGATCGAACACGAAAATACTCTACGTTTTATTTTCAAATAAACCAGATTAAATTTTCAATAATCGACAGAACTAAATATATATATATTGAAAAAAAAAAGAAAATAAGAAGATAAATTTGGCCTTTCAGGAGTTAGGATCAAAGATTAAATAAACGATAGGTTTTTCAACTCTCTCTCTCTCTCTCTCTCTCTCTCTCTCTCTCGTATACGTATTTTTTTTTCTTTTTTTTTTTTTTCGATCTATATTCAACGATCTCTGGAGGTAGACGAACCTCGTGGAAATAAAATTCTGCCTACGCCGATTTTCCAATATTACACGAGATATTTCAAACGACGGTGGCGGTAGCAATAGTAATAGCGGTACTGATGCTGCTGGTGGTGGTGTAGTTGTGGTGTGGTAGTAATGGTGGTGGTTGTAGTGGTGGTGGGTGCCAGCGTAGACACAATAGAGACCCCCTACAGCGTATAGGGTGCACGTGGCTCATCACTGGATTTATTATTGAAAGGTTCGAGAACGATAAGAGGCAGATAGCTATTGCATGCTTACAAAGCTCTAGGAATACCAAATGCTAGACCATTTTATTATACAAGATACATACTTGACATTATCACGCGATGCAATTCTTTATTTCGAATTGAAAATATTTTATTTTTATTCCTCTACCCTCCCACTATCTTTTTTCTTTTATTTTATTTTCTTTTCTTTTCGCTTTTGCGTGCATAATACGCGTACAATGCGAACGTTCCGCAAAGAAAATAGCGGATATCGATAGAAAGAGAAGGGACAGGGGGGTAATGGGGAAGGGTTGGTGGGTAGAAAGAGGAAGATGAGAATGGTAAAAGATTTTTATCGACGTTTTCGTCCCGAAGAAAAGTTCGATAGTCCGTTTCTTTCACTGACAGTCATTTCCTCTTCTTTCAGGAGGGTATCGGCTCGCTAAAAGTGGTGCCCGGGGGGATTGAGCTAAGAGGTCAGGCCGCTATTCTAGACACCCTCGTGGCCTCAAACCTTAAGTCTCGAAAAGGTGAAAATCTGGTACTGGAATCCTGGAGCAATTTTACGGCCACGGCTAGGTCGCATGATGGTCGATTGTTAGCGAGATTAACCGTTGGTAAGTTAAAAATAATGATACGTATATTTATTATTTATAAATATTATTTATGCAAATTTGAATCATTAATATTTAACGTTATCTATATTTAGAAATTTCAATTTGGAGCTATGGATTAATTAATTACTTTTGTCTTCAATGTTGTGACAATGAAAATATTAAAATTTTCTATGAAATAAAATAATATGGTTATGTGATTTATTTTTTATTTTTATTTTATTATATATTTTGTAAATGAAAATTTGTATTATTCACGTTCTATTCGATAGTATTATTATTTTTAATATTATTTGGAACGTAAATAAAGTACGTTTCATTTAATTCTTTCATTTAATTATGATACTCTGTGTTCCAAGTGTTAAAAAATATTTTCTTATACCGGTTCGTGTAAAAATTAAAATTACTCGTAACTAGTTTGCATTTAATTTTCTTATTTCTTTCTTTCTTTTTTTCTTTTATTTTTATTCATTTCATTCATTCGACGCGCGTTAATTGTAAATTTTTCTTGATAATTAAAATAAACATTCTTTGTTACTATTTTGGTAAGAACTAACGTTGCATGCTTTTTAACACGAGGTATTATTTATATATATATATATTTTAATTGCAAGCTTCAAAGAGTTAAGATATTTACATATAACTTTTTGCAATGGAGGTATATTTTTTGTAAATTGTCGCTCAGCGAGTCAAAGTGTTTATGAAAAATAAAATAAAATGAAATGAAAAGTTTTATCTCGTTAAATGAAAGAACCGTAAATGTAAATATACGAAATATTAACATACTAAAAACGCGCCGCGTATTTTACCCCATGCTCCAAATTTTCTGTAAAATTAGGATAATCCAAAACTATACGTGTATGTATTATAAGTCAAGAGTCCTATTCCTAAAAGTTTTGAAAAAAATATTATGGTGTTTAGAGTACCCAATACTTTTTAACAAAGATGGAACATGTTTAACACTTCTGACATGATTTCAGGTGAGGACCGGTTCGATTGCATTTCAAAGGGCTTCCGAATAACCGATCCACGAGGAGGAGTATTGTTTTCAGCCAATAGAGAACAAGTATTGGTAGGAGCAGACATGTTAAAAGTAACCGGTGATGGTGGTGCCGTTTTCCAGGGTAGCGTACAGACACCATTAGTTAGAGGAGAATCTGGCCGGGGTCTCAGGTAATTCTATCGATCCTTCATCATAAATATAAATCAATCTTATAAACAACAACCAAAAAATAATGGACAAATAAAATAAATCAATTGTTCTCTATTTGTTATATCTTTTTTTTATCCTTTATTTTAGATTGGAATCCGCAACGAGGTCAATAAAAATCAGCGCCCCGCAACGAGTGGTATTGGAATCCTGGGCAAACGAAATTTCAGCGTCCTGTTTGACCGACTTGAAAGTTCAGAGCGTACACGGTGCAATAAGACTCGATTCCAAATCCGTCTTCTTGAAAGGTCTAAAAACAGCTGTAACTGTTCAAGGAAGATCCTCGAGGGAGACACAACAACAACAACAACAACAACAACCACAACTGCAACTGCAATTGCAACAACAGCAACCACAAGAAAAAGAACAAGAACAGAAACAAGAACAACACCAACAACAACAGCAACAGCAGCAGCGGTCTTCCAGGTCCTCGATTCATCAAAATCAAAGAGAGACGAGCATTTATCAACTGTGTGCCTGTGCTAACGGGAAGCTCTTTCTTGCCAGACCGGAGGGTATCTGTCAAGCGGACAAATCCGTTTGCTAATGCGTCCTGGGGATGGTGTCATCGAAATAAAAAAAGATTTTCATCAAACTAAAGGAAAATGAAAATGGAAACGACCGTTTGTCCGGCTTAAGATATTCGTCTTGTACGAATGAAACAAAAAAAAAAAAACAAAAAATACAAGAAAAACACACGCACGCTCGGAAGTAAATATAAGCCGTGATATCTGACCACCATATCAGGTGGAGGATTAGACGACGAGAGGCCTTTTTTGGAAATCATTGCAAGAGTATCAAACGAATTGAACTAGTCGATGAAGCGATTGAATTATTAATAATCCCGACAAGTTGATATTTGCTCAAACTGACATTTTCTACGTAGCGGAAATGAGAGAGTCACTTGGGTGTTAGTAGGTGGGTGGGTGGGTGGATGAGTTGGATGAGTGATGTGTGTTTGTGTGTGTATGTGTGCGTTCAAACGCTTCCTCGATTTGTTCCATTTTGATCGCACATTGTATATTATACCCTTTGTAGAGTATGAGTCCGCGTACACCCACGGAGTAGGTCGGGTGAGTCGTGTGTGTGTGTGTGTGTGTGTGTATGTGTGCTTGGTGACTTGCGCGGAAACTTGATCAACTATGACGACTATAACGACTATGACTACGACTACGAAGACGAAGACGACGACGACGACGATTATGCTAAAGACGATGACGATGATGATGATTATGATGATGATGATTATGATGATAAGGATTTCCTAGGGTTCTGCGGACATCTATGTGTATGTAGCATTGTTGCTGACGCTACCCCGCGATGTATATCTTGTATATCAGTGAAAACGCGTAACATGCGGTTACCGTTTAGACATCAGATGCATCATTAAATAACAAACAAATCTCCAGCTCCTCGTCTATCCGCTTTCCTTCGTCATAATTTTTTCCTTTTTTTTATCTTACATCATTTTCTTTTCTTTTAAATATCTTCTTCTCTTAGCTTCAAGCTCGTTTTTTTCTACGTCTATACTTTTGTTATTATGTATATTGTGCGACGATAATTATGAGAACGAAAAGAAACGGTCTAACACATTTTTATTATGCATTAATGATAAAGTTATTATTCTCTCTTTGATATTATTAATATATATTATTAAGAATATAATCTTCTTTTTTGTTTTTTAGAGCAAAGATTATTAAAATAAAATAAAAAAGAATCTATCTTTGAATGAGCTAATACAATGCCCAATTTGTAATAGGAATTAGTGGTAAAATCTTATATTATATTCAAGAATTGATTTATTTTCGATCGCGTTTTCTGATAAACCTGGAAGGAAATGTGAAGACAAAATGTAGTTATTGTAAAAGGATCAGGATGCGATCCAGCTTGTACGCTGTACGTCGGCCATGTCCATCTATTTATGTATGTGGCAATAAAATCGTTATTGTTACTATTATTATTAATCGTCGCCAAGTGCCTTTCACTATTTCTTTCAAATTCAGGTTAATCTCGTGTACGGGGACAATTAACGTTTGCTATTGGACAACCAACACATCATACAGTAAGTAAATACAGATAAATGTAGGAGAGTTTTAAGATAAAACACGTCTTGGGTTACTTCTAATGTTGCACATAATTGCAATACGTAATAAGATCGTAAAAACAATAATAACTTAAGTTAATTCTATGAAAATGTTTATGAAATGATAATAATAACATTTAGATTGGAAGATAATTCAATTGCAAAATTTCAACGAGTAAACAAATGGCCTAAGGCACCTGACTGATTTTTCATTTCAATTAGTATTCATTCTTTATTGCGAATTATATCGTGCAGAAAAAAAGCAAAAAAAAAAAAAGAAAATAGCAGTAAATTGAGAAAAGTTATTTCCAGGTCCGATAATTTTTTAATCCGAAAAACAAGTATATGATATTTCGTGAAAATGAAATGGCCTATTTTCGAGATACTCTTGTACACGTAACGATAGGTATAACAGAGATGCAATCTCGTGCAGTGGTCGCAGTAAACGATTCCGACGGTAGGATAATTTTCTCGAAATTCGAGATTAAAATTGCATCGGGCAGGGGAGGATTGGGGGAGTGGGGGAGAGAGGGAGATTGGGTCGAGAGGATAGAAGAGGGAAATGAAGAAAATGTAGGAAAAACAATATGCGAAACAACTACGGATAAAAATAAAAGTCGTATTCTGTGTTGAATCTAAAAGCAGGGGGTGGGTGACAGGGCGAGGGGGTTCGTGGAAGAAACCACCCACTGGACGAATTATAGTGAATTAACGTGAACGGCGTGGTAGGAAAGAAAAAAAGAATTGTTGGAGGAAAAATAATGGCGTAAAAATTCCTCCTTACCTCGTTTAGAAATAAAAATAAGAAACAAAAGGTGAGTACGACGGGGAGGGTGGTATCGTTATATTTTAGTGATAAAAAAATAAAAAAAAAAAAGGAAAAGGGAAAGGAAAAGAAAGAAATAAATTAAATGAACAAAAACAGGGGGTTGAGGGGGGTGTGGTGACGCGGAAGAGAACGTCTTTTGAAAAGACATAATGAAGAAAGTGTTGTTAAGGTAAACCGGTAAACTTGGAAGTCCTGTTGAGTTTCTGCTTAGCCAAACGATCAAACTCTCTTCAGCTTTTACTCGATCTCTTCCGATTGTGTAGTTTTGCGCTTTAGAGAGTCAAGAAGCACGTTGAACCAATCGCGTAGTATGGTTGTCGTCTTCCATGTCTATATCTATGTCTATGTCTATGTCTATGTCTATGTCTCTCTATGGATGGATAGACACAGCAAAGGTGAAACTCCACCCTTAATGTACGATCGTTTCGATTAATCCTCCAAGTGGATTCACGCGCTCGTAGGGGTTTAATCCTGGTACGGGCGTTACCGTCGCGTTTAACTCGACCGTTCGTTCGTACTACGACGATCGTTCATCCGTTCATCCCTCCATTTCCATATTAAATATAAATCGTTCAACAACCTTATATATACACACGAATATCTCTACGAAAAAACAAAAAGAAAAAAAACAAAGAAGAGAAAGAAAAAACGAATAGAAATATGTATATTACTTTTGCATGATTAAGAATAGTTACCATATATATTGTTGATTTGTGTCAGACTTGGCAATTGGATTTTTTTACCAATCGAATTTTTATATACCTTTAAATTTACGAGTCAACGTTTTTTTTTTTATTGCTTTCGTTAATTATTCATCAATTTTATACAACGTAGATATAAAAATAACATTTTTGTTATATATTTATTAATGTACCTTTTGAGTTGGTTGGCAAAGAGGGTATTTTCTTTTTTTTTTCTTTTTTGGATAATCGTTGAATTAGGAATAGACATTAAGGGAGTCTCATCAATTAAAGAGTCGAATTTTGTTACATCTATCGATTAATTTCAACGTGATTCTCTCGGATGCAAATGAAAATAATTGGAAATAATAATTTAGCCGATTCCCTTTTAACAGTGCTTACCCGCGCATTAAACGTGTGTTCGTAATATATTTTAATTATGACATAATGTTAATAAAAAATAATGAGAAAAAAATATATATATAAGTGATTTATAATTTAGTATAATATAAAACCCTTCCGGGTCTTTAACAATATATATGTATAAATTGTTAAATAGAAGCGAATTATATAAAGGATTTACACATATGGCCTTTAGCTGCTGCTAGGCTTTTCCATAGATTGAAGGTACCCGTTGTAAAAGGATTGTACCTTCAGGGGTTTGAGAAGAATTAGTTCAAGTTGAGTACAAGCACGATTATACTTTGGTAATATATAGTTGAAGAACCCCTGTAGGGAGATAGTTGAGTAACGTTGGTAACAGTAAAATCCTGTTTGGTATCCAACCCGTCCTGGATAGTATCTAAAGGATGAGTTCTGTGAACCGTGAAATTGTTGCACATGGATACGCGTGCGTCCGATAAAGCTTTAAATACGAATTAGTGGCAGCAGCCGCCGCGGAAGTCTTCCCTGGGCAAAGCAACGCACCCGTAACGCAACAGAACAGAACAGAACCTAACCTAACCTAAACTAACCTAACCTAACGTGATGCAATGCCCAGTGCAACGTGGGTCACAACACGTGTGCTCCCCTGAACATTGCAGAACACACAGGGTGGTTGGTGGTGGTCCACCTCTTCTCTCGTGCTATTGGAAATCTTGTTTCTCTTCTGTAATTATTATCGAATAGGAGTGAGGGGTTAGGGGTGGGTTAGCGAAGATAGGGTGGTAGTACGAGAAGCGTTTTAAGGATTGAATTCGTGAGCGGGTGGCACTAACGTTCGACAGATCGGTAAGCATTAAATGTGGTCTGCCGTTAATGACGACAGTCGTGTGCTACGCTTTTACTGATATATATGAAGATAGTAGTAATAGTAGTAGTAATAGTAGTAGTAGTAGTAGTAGGGAACATAATCGAAGCGTTTTACTTTACGCATCGTCCTACTACGTTACCCACGTTCAAGATAAAAAAGATGAGAAGGAAGAAAGGAAGGAAGGAAGGAAGGAAGGAAGGATGAAACGGGAGGATGAGGTAGCAAAGGGGTTGGGGTTGGGGTTGGGGTTGGAGGGATTGTGAAACTCGCAAATAGATATTTGCCGAAGGCGGGGACCACCCGCGTTGCAGAAATTAAAAAGGAAGTGGTATCGATCCGCGGTATTGCCGCACCATCATTGAAATTATGTAAGCTAGAAATGTAGGTTAATGCATACTCGAACCGCGTTCTTAATGCCACCGACGCAAATTGTCGTCGGGCTGTGTGTATTTTTGCGAACATTTTGCGGGAGCACCATCCAACGTAGATGTTTATCGTAACTCCGTAAAGAAAGCCGTCGTCCCTTCGGCTTTTTCTTTTCCCTTATAGACGAAAATGGAAATTCGAGAGAAATAGATGAAGGAAGGTAATTTTTCAATCGGGCTTGATCGAAACCCCGGATCCCATCGCTACGTCGTCGTCTCGTCCTCTTTTTTTTTCTTTCTTCTTTTTTTCGCGAATAAATTTTGTTTAGTTTTAATTTCCCGATAATTCTCGCGTTAAAGGTATAATTTCTTTTATTTGAAAGCATCAAAACATCATTTTTTTAATATTCCAAGTATATAAAAACAGAGACTGCAGAACTTTTGTCTTGTTTGCTAATAATTGGATGCACTTCAATATGATTGTCTCGTAATAATCGAATTAAAATATTTTAATGGGAGGGCTTTATCGATAACACGTGATAAAATTTAAATGCAATTTTGTAAGAATTCAAAGTTGATTTTAATCGATTGACTATGGATAAGACGTTAACAATTCTAAATAATCGATATGAATATTTAAGTAAATAAAAAAGTATCTCGGACATTATCAAAAGAGAATAAAAATAATATGATAACGTACTCGTTTAATTTTGTATTTTAATAATCGCATAAATTGCTTTATATCCGACTAGTATATACTTGAGATCGGGTCCAACAATATTTTAAAGTACCTAAAATTGATAGAGTATAAAAATTCGATTAAATGAACAATAGAATAAAGATTGTTTGATCCTAGATCAAACGTATGTAATAGGAAAGGTTGAAAAATAGTGGGTGTGGGTAGGTACTGCGACAGGGTTAGATCTGATGCGTTACTTTAAAGTGTAAATGCAAACTACGATAGGAGTATAACAGGTTGTTGCTTCGTAAAGAGAACTCTACGGTATGGAACGTGAGTGGATCGAGTAAACGTTCCCGTGTTAAGCATATATGTATGCAATTGTAGTAGTAGTAGTAGTAGTAGTGGTGGTGGTGGTGGTGGTTGGTGGTGGTGACGTTGGTGATGTCTGTGGTGGTCGTTGGTGAGTACTGAGGGCTGAGGGTTGAGAGGTAAAGGCGGATCACTTCCACGAGAGAAATCCACCGAGAGGGGATTGTCTGAGGTCAGAGGTTAGGACACTCGTGCCTCGAGGGCTCTTACTCTGATCAAAACCGCCAAATAGATAAATTACTCATCCTACTCGTTCTCGTCTTCCCTTTTCCCCGAGATTTTAAACTAAAAATAATATTATAAAGAAATAATAAGTATATGTGAAAGATATAAGATAAGAATTCTTTTCTCGAAATATCTATATTTCTGTTGTTTTTTTGTTTGTTTCATTTATATTATATAGAATCATAATTTGTCTTGAAAGAAAAATAATTGATAAAAAGTAAGGAAGGAAAAAATTTTACTATTTAATTTCTTTTTTTTTTTGTTAAAGCTACGAAATTATAAGAATCGATATCAAAGAGATAATAGAAAAATCGCATTTATTATTCTTACAGTTGATAGTCACTTTATTAGATATTTAACAGAGCAAAGTAACGATGAAGTAATATTTGATGATTTCCGATAGGACAGAATTAGAAGATAGATCGTGTAGAATGCGAGTCGAGTTCTAGGAATAGATATCTAAGGTGCCTAATGG